TCCTACACAATGTACCTTTAAGTCCCTGCAGCCCAGACAAAAAAAATATGTGGTTGTAATACAATAATTACTCCAGAAACATATTCATCTGGAGGATGTGGCTGTCTGATGGAAACCTTTACTGTTGGGAAAGCTGCTCTGTCTGCTGCCTCAGCTCGTCTTTTGCTTAATATGATCCCATGGTCATGCGCTTGAGGAACATGGTGTTATAAAATACAGAAGTTGGCAGGACTGAGGTTTTGTATTTCATCTTTTGTGTGGTATAAGTTAGGAAGTATGTCTGTAGGAAGCCATGTTGTGTATTTAAAGGAAGGAGGCATATAGTGGAAGTGAAACTCTGGTTCCAGTGGTCAACTTGAAGTCTGCTGTTAAAGGTTCCGTTTGGACTATAGGTATGAAATCATCATGTCTGATGAGGTTCCTTGTGCTTATTATGAAAAAGCCTTAAGTTAGTGTATTTGGCAATGCAACACAGTCTTCTTAGCTCAATACTTGGCATGACAATAACTGTTTTACCCTTACCCCCTAACAGTCATGTCTCTCAAGCTCCCTTAGCATTTGCAATGGCCTGGACACACAGCAACATGAGCAGTGCATGATGGCTGCCTTGCCTATCTGCTGGGGCATGCAGAACTGTAGTGTCCACACAGAGACCATTTCTGCTGCCCAGCCCTACCTTTGATACAATAAATACATATGTTAACAAATGGATTCCGTCCACAGAAAGGCAAGGGAGCAATCTGAAATGGAATGGACCTCTACTCTCTAGTGAAGCGTTGCTGCAGCTGTGCCTGAGACCAGCGGCTCACGTGGACAGTGTGGCTGCTCTCACCTGTAAACATGGGTGCCGAAATATAAAGCAATATACTCTGTGATGCACATGCACTGCAAATGCGTGCACCTTGTCCAAGCTCCCATGAAACTTAGCACAGGGTGCTATTTGCTTCAGCATATTTACTTGATTCCTGAAAAAATAGGCAGCTAGGGAGCGACCTTTGTCGTGTATTTTTTGGCATTTACAATAGCCAATAGCGGTGAGTGTGTATTACACTACAGTAAAAAACAGTGTGTTTGTGTGTGTGTGTGTGGTGTTGGCAACTTATGTAGTCTATAACCAATGGTGGAAAAAGTACCAAGATACAACAATGTAAAAATATTCCATTACTCCTTAGCTACATACTTAAAGTAAAAGTCTTGCATTTAAAAATCTCAAGTATTGGCAGAAAAATGTACTTTAAAAGCATAAAAGTAAACATACTCATTATGCACACTGTGCCTATTTAGAGAGTTGTATATTTCATAAATACTGATTTTTGGCAGCATTTTAAAGTTGTCAACAAGAAATTAATCTAGCTAATTTATCTCTACTTTGGGGTAGTTTATTTTATAGTTTTATTTCATAAAGATGAACAAATGTTTTAAATATAAAATATAGATCTGAAAAGTAATGGGTAACTATAGCTGTGAAAAAAATGTAATGGAATAAAAAATAAATTAAATATTTATTTTAAATCCTTTCATAGCATAAAATGGAAATACATGTTTTCTTCAGAGCTGATTTATATGCTAAATAACGGTGGTAGGGAGTGGGAAAATTACCACGTGCAAAACGAAGGGGTGCGAAAGCAGCTGAACTAAGCATTACAATGTTGTGGTTTATCAAAATATTTTCCTAACGTTGGCAGGTCTGGTAAATTCAGTTTCATTGTTTGTCCCAAGTAGGTCATTTGAACATGTGCACAGGGTGACTTTCACCAATGCACCCTGAGTCCTTTAAGCTCCTTTTGAGCAGGCTGGAAGTGTCTATCATAACCCCAAAGGGCTTAGTTTTAGTTCCAACAATGAATATTGCCAACATCACCCAGCAACCATTTCAGTGTAATAGGCCTTTAATCACTGTCAACAAAACACAGCTCTCACAATATCAACATTACAAATATAATATATTGCACATCATTATTATAAAGCATAATTGTCACTATTATCATCATCACCACGGTCACTAAGGTAATGGGATTGTCAACAACAGCAGCAGTTACCTCCTCCTGCCATTATCTTTCCAGGCTTAAATGGAGACAGAGGTGAAGATAATAAGGCAACCTAAGCTTACAGTACATTCTACAGTTTGATCCCCTGGAAAATAATGTTTACTTGCTTGACTTTGGCCTCTGTTTCTACATGTATATATTATACAAATCTCCGTGCATTGGTACATATTTGTTGTACTGCCCTGAGATCTTGCTATGAATGTCCCTTACTTTTTGCATACTACTCACTATATGAGATTTTTTCATCTTCTTTTTTGAATCCATTCATGCTGCTTAACAAGTTAAGTTCTTAGTAGTTAAGTCGCTAGGTCTTGTGTTTTATAGCAAATAACTCATCTTCAAATATACTGATTTCCTCCCATTTAAAATCCCAGATCCCAAACCAGGCCTTGCTTTCTCTCTGATGTCATACCACACACACACACAACACCACACAACCACACCACAACACAGAATTCCATAAGTTGAAATAAAACCATCATGTGTTTCAGCTGGTAAATGAGAACTCTGGAAATGAGCATAATAGGTCCCTTTTAAGAATGTGAATGCTATAAAATCACAATGCTTCCTTTGTGAACTTTAGTATTTGTGATGTTGTGTGATTTGTTGAAGGGTAAAGGCATATTATTTGAGCTTGGAGTACAAGCCGTAGCATACGTTTGGCAAGTGTGTGCTGGAGTGTGTGTTCTTTATTTATTTACTTTTGTATTTTCCTTTATTTAGCCAGGAAGGTGCCATTGAGATACTTGGGTGTTGGTCAAGATGGCAACATAAGCAGTTTCATATACCTTTTCTTCACATGTCACTTTTTGACACGACATAAGGAAAAAAAAGGATGGTAAAAGCAGAATAAAAAGGAGTGGTAGGGAACCGTGGACTTTAAGACCAGCAGTGAGTTGGAGATGGAGAGACGAAAGAAGCAACAACTCAGTAAGTAGTTTACTGCTACTTTGAACTATTTGTCAGAAATGTTAAATAATAAGTTAATAATAATACAAACAGTTTATGTTAGATAGTCTTTTATATTCAATATTTTATTTCACTGTGTTTTCATAAAATACGTTAAGGGTTTATTTCTAATCGATATCACTGGCTGTGTAAATACATGCAATTTAACTTCCTAAACTAAATCACTCACATTGTACTTGAGTTGCTTTTGGCTTATAAGCAGTGGTGTTTTTCTTTTTGCTTCTGGCCTTTGAACTGCCACAAATCTTTAAGTGTATGCAGTTTCTTTAATTAAGCTCCTGTACCCCAGACAATGTACTCTTTACTTAAACATTTTTTTCTGAGTAAATAATGAATAAAGCTGTGTTTTGTGCTCTGTATAATTATCTTAGGTTTGGTTTATTATAGACATATATTATAGCTGATGTATGTAAGTTTATTCATAAAAAAGTTTAGCCATTCACCTTGATTGTGAAGTAATTTTTAAGCAGCTGTGATATAAGCCCAAACTACTACTAAATTTTGTCAGTTTTGAACCCTGGCTCTTATCAGTTTAACACCAATTAGATTTAGCTCAGATTATTATTATTATTATTATTATTATTATTATTATTATTATTTCATCACTTTAATCTGGAAATTATTGTTTATAATTCAAAAACGGGGGAAAACAATGGGGTTCTCTAATCGAGCTGTCAATACATTACATGAGCCATAATATAATTGGATCACTTTAATCATGCTGCATGGCTAACAATGTTGTTGTAATTCCTATGTTGTTGTTGTGATCCCTAAATCTCAGAAATTAAACTGGTGATTGAAAGGTTACCATAACTGTAATTTAATTTAATAATTAAAATAATGTTCAGAACTACCAAAAAGATCTCCTTGTTTTCCATATTGGCACCTGGGTTGCTGACATACTATATGTTAGTTCCTCTGTCATCACTAATTCTTCGCTGTGGTTTCGTTAGGGGACTCCTCTGATAGGGGTGGATCCAGGCAAATCAGTACGGCTCCATCTCTAATCCTGACCCGAACCCTGTGGCCCAGGATGAACCCTTATCCACGTACTTTGAAGACACAGTGGCCATTCCTGAAAATATTAATCAGGTACTGTCTCACAGCCACTGTTTCATGTAAAATATTCAACAAAAATTAAGCTTTTTTTCAAATACAATGCTTTACCCTTGTTAAAAGTTTATTACAATTTCTAGGATTTTGGGAAGTCAAATATATTGTACTTAGAATTTAAAGAATTTCGCATCAATGAAACGACAACAGTAATAATGATCAAATTATTTCACTCTTGTATTCAGGTATTCAGTTTCCGCAAACTCTGGGCATTCACTGGACCTGGGTTTTTGATGAGCATTGCCTACTTGGATCCAGGGAACATCGAGTCTGACCTGCAGTGTGGAGCGATAGCTGGCTTTAAGGTGATATGTAAAAACACAATAATCTCCTTAGTTTGTTTTCCCACGGCCTGATAGTTTACTAGTTAATGGGTGTGGGTTTATGGCAAAAAATGAACCATAATTCAGCATAATTTCGACAGGTATGTATTTGAGCTTTTCTTTTTGTTCACTCCATATTTGAGAAAGTAATTCTGCAGCTTTTTGTTGCTCTCTTCACCCAGATAGATACTGCTACCTGATATCTTCTACCTTTCCTAAACGTGCCATTATTTTATTTTGAAGGCAAAATTACTTTACTTCTTGTCTGTTTCTTGTCTGTTTGTGGCAGTGACACATAATGAGCTGCATCAATATATTTCTCTAAGCAAAGGCATCATTTGTGCAATGACTTATGGTTATTTTAATCATAATTATTTTCATTATATTATTAAAAATAAATAACAGCTTTGAATGTTTGCTTTGTCTAAAATGAACATTAGCATAGGCATTCATTATTTAAATTTGGCAGTCTGCCGAAGTAAAACTCCTGTACAGGAAGTAGTAACTTTTGCTTACTTTCACTTTCTCTCTCAGCTCATATGGGTGCTCCTTGTAGCCACCGTCATTGGGCTGTTGATGCAGAGGTTAGCTGCACGCCTCGGTGTCGTCACTGGCATGCACCTGGCTGAAGTGTGCAACCGGCAATATTCCAGAGTGAGCATTCCCCTTTCTCGTCACGTTTCAACTTCCCTTTTCTTACTGCACTTTAACTTTTTATGCATGGGGCTGTGATTGTAAAATCTCTGTATCAGTGAGAGTGTTCTATTTTTTATTTTTTTTCAGGTTCCTCGGTTCATGCTTTGGTTGATGGTGGAAGTGGCAATTATTGGCTCAGACATGCAGGAGGTCATTGGCAGTGCCATAGCTCTCAACCTTCTTTCTGCGGGCAGGTACCTTCTGGACTGCTTGTCCATGGAAAGTGACTGCAAACATTTTTGTTTCTGTTGTTTCTGTATATGCACATTTTCTTCTATTTCTCTTGCAGGATTCCACTGTGGGCAGGCGTCCTCATCACCATCGTAGACACATTTACATTTTTATTTTGTGACAAATTTGGTATGCATATACCGTCACTTACTTATAAGTGTCTAAAAATCTGTGTATCCCAGTGTTGATATAGTTTGTATCTCTTTTTAGGCCTGAGGAAACTTGAAGCTTTTTTTGGCTTTCTCATCACTGTAATGGCTCTTAGCTTTGGTTTTGAGGTAAACGTTTTTAACAATTTCCAGTATAATTAAAGCGTTTGTTGTGTTTTAGCTAATACGTTCATGGCACCATGACATGTTTGACTCTGTCTGTCTGTAGTATGTGCTGGTAAAGCCAGATCAAGGGGAATTGCTGAAGGGCATGTTCTTTCCTTACTGTGCCGGCTGTGGGCGTGCGCAACTGGAGCAGGCAGTGGGGATCATAGGCGCTGTCATAATGCCACACAACATCTACTTGCACTCAGCGCTGGTCAAGGTTAGAAGTATATTTGTTGTCATATGTGGATAAGCAAGACTAAAAAGTAAAGCCTAAGGCTACGGTCACACTTGCACTGATGCAGGGGGAGTGACCATCGCTTGCTGAAGTCAACCACAAACACTTCTTTGCAATTGGCTGAGGCTGGAATTTTGCCGGTCAAAGTTCAGCAAAGTTGAACTTTACATTAAGTAAAGATGCACATTTGTGCAAGTATGACTGTACCCAAGGGTGTTTGATGAAAGTAGAGTGTAATTCTATTCATTTCCTCATGTACCAGTCTCGTGAAATCGATCGCAATAAAAGGGAGGAAGTGAAGGAAGCCAACAAGTACTTCTTCATCGAGTCAGCTATTGCTCTCTTCATCTCATTCATCATCAACGTCTTTGTTGTAGCTGTCTTTGCTCAGGCCTTCTATAATAAAACCAATATGGAAGTGGTGAGTATACATTATTATAGTATGAATCCATTCCTCTTTACTGGATACTGTTGAGTGTACAAAGCCTCAAGTTGTGGCTCATCATGTGTTTGTGTCCCTGACTGCAGAATGCAATGTGCAACGCAACCGGAAGTCCTCACACAAATCTCTTCCCCCTCAACAACAACACACTAGAGGTGGACATCTACAAAGGGGTATGTCTGGTCATCATTACAACAGAAAATGGCAATAAATTGTGGACAGTGATGAGACAGCTCCAGTAAGATCTTGGTAAACAAACAAACACATAACTGTTAAATCTTTGGGAAAATCTTTTTTCTTTCTCATTGCTAATTTTAATTGGCAGTGATATATCAAAGCCTCAGTTTGACTGACCTCTGTCAGAGCATGTATTCACATAACAAGAGAGGGAATTTTTGATGCACAGTTTGTACACATCCCCAGTCCTGAGAAAAGCTTTAATCCAGCAGGTAAATTTAAAACACCTGAGACGAAATACCGACTTATATTTAAACATAAATATTTTTTTTTTTACCCTGAGCTAGGGATGTCACATTCAAGGGTTTTTAGCCCCTGATCCGATCCAAATGATTTAATAAAATTTTTTTAATTACTATCTGCTGATACCAAGTCCTGATCAAATACTTACAACAGTTTTTTTATTATATCGTACAGTGCACATTGCATATGTTTATGCTCGACAATTAAATAGCTTTTAAGAAACAATATACCTGCATCGATGCTGCTCCTTAATAGGTTTTGTTGTTGTTGTTGTTTTACACAACGAAGTAGTGAAACTCTGCAGCGGACAGGGCTGATGGCTGCACCCAGTTTGAAACTTTTGTGAGTGAAAACAGTTGTTGACAGCTGATGTAAACATCCTGACGGAATCGGAATCTATCTATCTATCTATCTATCTAATCTATCTATCTATCTATCTATCTATCTATCTATCTATCTATCTATCTATATGCCCTCGACATTATGAAATAACTATCTGTGTCTT